TGCTAGATGTCTAGCACTCGAACTGTGTGATCAGTCATCTGACACGTAACGCTTGACAAGGGCGTGTCGTCGTAATATTTACCTGACATGTATGATGTGGTTGGAATCGTGCCATTGATTCTACTTTCTCGGAGTAGTGTAACATCTCAGCATAAGCAATAAATCGTGCCATTGATTCTACTTTCTCGGAGCAATGTAACATCTCAGCATAAGCAATAAAACACTCGAAGCATTTCACATTAATAATATCGCCAGTGATCAACCAATTAAACGATCGCATCTGTGCAAATTACTAATAATCAACCTGACAAAAACGATCTAGAATTGAAACATCAAGATTGTTTATTCACATCCCAGGACCAGATCACGGTTGTCTAGCCAAATCCCAGGACCCAATCACCATTGTCAACTCACATCCCACGACCAGATCACGAATGTCTAGTAACATCCCAGGACCAGATCACGAATGTCTATTAATTTCCCATGGTGACTGGATTTTTAAGAGTACCTATTCTATGAAAGGTTTCACACCAGTACATATGCCATCCCACCGAAATGCGATTACGCCACTTTGATAAGATGTTTTACTGTCCCGGGAAGTGTAGCTTGTCAGAAATTGGCCTCTGTATGATACATGTCTTGGTCCCCAGGTTTTATCTTGGACGTTACTGTGTTAAGAGATTTAATTCCGGGTAATGGGGTAGGCTCGTGCTTAAAGTGTTTCTTCGTAATTCCAAATGACAATGTTCGGCTAACGTGATTACCATGTACGATGTTACAATTCCGGTTTCCATCAAAGTGCTATCGCTGGCATACTACACAAAGTGACGATGAATGATTCTCCGACACTACACCATGTCATGAAAAAGAACAAAATATCCCCACAACCGTTACTGTGACGTAAGACGCAGATACAATATTATCAGTGTGTGAGCTTGGTTTAACCACATTTGACAACATTTCACTCACATTTAAGAACGTCAACTGTATGTAGGAAGGAAATATGATGTAATGCTGTTCGTGAGGTCCAATTCCTCTCAGGAGAATCCTTTGTACTGACAGACAAATCTTTCTAAAACATTTTACAATATTGTGTAACTTCATTACGGATTTGTGAGATGTACAATAACAATATAATGCAACTGTCGTAAATACAAGAAGAAAAAATGTATCTCGTGTCACAGGAACAACGCAGGCACATTGTTATTCCTCGTGTGTTGGCTTGTTTTCTAATAATGTATCTTTAATCATAGGAGTTCCATTTAGATAAGAACAAACCTATTCAAAGGGCATGAAATTTCTCAAAGGCAATCTATCCAGTACAAAGAGAGATCAAAGCTCCTTTCTAAGAATCGATACCTGCTATCTACAGCAGACACCACAAGAAAGAGTTCCCTTCTACTCTTAGAGCGTATCGATGGACATGTCTGTTCGTGGCAGACCCTGGACGCTGTGTATGGTTACAGACTATAGGAAGATATTCTGGAGGAGACAGAACGATGAGCTATGTGAACAAATTGAAGTTAATGACTGAAATCGCTTCACCTCAAAACATTTTCATGTCCGTGAACTCCAGTAATTCCAGCAGTATGATGCCACTTTTAAAGCAAATACGGAAATGATGTTTTGCTACTTTCGACGTTTCTTGTCTGGAATGGCTAGTTTGAGTGACGCTGCCTTTCCTGAGCGGAAGGACCCCTAAGGATCTTCTGAGCTTGGACACTCCTTGCCGATCACAGATCTGTCTACACTTAGGAAGGCATTATTCAACGCCAGTTTGTTGGGTGATGAAAGCAGGAAGAGATACGGTTCTTAGATGATTATGCCTTTGGTGAAACACTCGAATAGGGTTGTGGTGCTGATTGAGTTTAACAGGGCTTGACGGGATTCGAAACCAGGAACATTGTTTATGTAGCACACCCAACAAATACAGCTTCCTCAAGCACGCGACCATCCGTGTCCCGTTTCAATCTGTAATTCGTAGATATTCTGACTAGATATTTAGACCTGTTTCTTGCTTAACGCCGTATTCAGCAATATTCAGTCCAGCTCTTACTGGGGCGGTGGGGTAGCCTAATGGTTAAAGCGTTGGCTTTTAGACATGGGTACAATGTGTGAAGCCCATTTCTGGTTCCCCGCCGTGAGGCTGGAAAGAATCTAACCCATGGTCACCACTACTTTTAGATTCCTGGATCTCCAGTCAGTGTACCAGGAAAGAATCTAACCCATGGTCACCACTTGGATCTCCAGTAACAGACAGTTGGCAGATTAGGAATAATGAATGTCTTTGGGCTGCATTCCATAATCCGATATGAGTATTATCCATCTAAACGAGACAGTTGGCAGATTCTTGAATAATGAATATGTACGTTTGACACAGGCGATTGCAGCGCCCATGAAGAAATCCTATGCTGATATGCTTAGCAGTTATCCATCTAAACGACAAAATGTGGTCAAGTTCCCATTTGATACGTCTACGGTGTATTTCGGTAGTGGTGGCTGGTTTTACGATTAGAAGTGCATTTCAGCAGGGGCAGGAAAGGAATATGTAGACATTTATTTCTACTTCGGGGCACTTCGTGATCACTGCCATGCGCTGAAACAATGTCATTCTCGAAAAAGATCTTTGTCATTCTCGGGGCGGTGGGGTACGCCTGTATCGATTGTAATCACGTTTGCATTTCTCTCTCATGAACTTTACTAACGTGAAAATCTCTTTTCACCTTCAGCTGCGTATACTTTGGACTGTTGTCGTTCTTCACCGTCAGCCGTATACATTGACTGTTGTCATTGTTGTCCCCATTGCCTGCGTGTTGTAATCATGTTTGTCAGTCTGATGGACTGACTTTACTGAAGAGTTAACGTCAACATCCGCAGTCAGTTTGGACTGCTGGCATTCACAGTTGTAGTGTTATCGTCACTATATAATCAATTAGAATCTTAACCATTGTTACCAACGGGCGGTTATTTGTATGCTTGCGTAATAATGCATAACGTAACTATGGCAAGCAATGCTGTAAATCTGTTACAGACAATATATATGCAAAGAAACCAAATACATATTACGATAGCTAATTCTTTTCCTCTTGACAAACTAACCATTGTAAAATTAAAAAATCCAGGTGCTCTTCAACGTATAACATAGTTTTACAAGGAAATGAGGAAGGAATCGAATATATAACTTGTTCAAAACTGAGTGTGGTTAAAGTCAAAAGACTCATCACACTCTCCCTTGACAGATTTATGTATTCAGATCAATGCTAAACAAAACGTTGCCTAATACACCATAATGAAATATGTTCATATTAAACCCTATAATATATATACAGAATAATAAATCATACATGCCCTTTCCAAGTGTATCTTCCCATAAGACAGACCTCCCAAAAGACAGACCGCTTAAAACAGCACATATTATGGTTGGTTGCATAAGGCTTATTTAAGCTGTACCCTTGATAATAATGGCATTTTCCCAGATAAAAAAGACAACATTAGGTATTAACTATAGTTTTATCAATTCATGTAATCAATTATGATTTTTGAATTAAGACATATTGCATCAACATATTTCAACTCTTCATACCCGATAGAATCATTCTGGTGAAATGGATGCAATAACTGCTTGAATATTGCTGCGTTTTGGCTATTGATATTGCTATGTGTAAAAAGAAAATGGAAAAATCTTACTTTGCAAACAGAAATGTTAACAAAGATAATTTTAGATGTTCCTAAACATTTTTTCACAATATCAAAGACACGTTTTACTTGTTTTCACTAATGCAAATCAGCAGAAAATGTTTCAAAAGACTGAAATCATAGGAATGATTATTTTACAATTTTACACACTCTATAGCAGTTGTTTCTTGTTTTAATAGTTGAAAATGGTGATTTAAATGGTTTATCTTTGTCTCAAAGCATAATTTTATTCAACCTCCCTTTTGGATATCTAAATCACTCTTATTGGTTTATTTCGGCATGGACGAAAATAGGACAATTCAACTCAACTCTGAAAAAGATGCATTTCACCTAAATATGAATGCATTTGAGAATTTAGTTTCGTGAGTTGCATAAAGCTGTGTTGTTAAGCTTTCTTTTAAACTAATACCTTCTAACATATCTTTGATAGTTTTGAAGTTATTCATAAAGGTAGGAGGGTAACGTTTCTTTTGGCGTGTAGTGTATATGTACATCAACATATATTTGCCAGATCACATTTACTCGTGAATATTATCAAAAATAATAATTTATATGCATGTACCTATCAAACATATGAGACCAAGCACGATATTATTTTACATCACATGTTTGTCAGTGCACAGATAAGACTTACTAGAAAGTCACTTGAACATCATCACTTTTTCCTTTCACCTTGTTCTTGGCATACAGGAAGCCATCTAGAAGGGTGATCGGAAAAGAGTCATAGAAAAAAGTCATGGAAAAAGAGTCATTTGAAACATAACTATTAGAAAACATCCTGTTCTCCAGTTATATACTTTGTTTATACTGAATTTTATAAATACCATTTCACTTTCATCTTCAAATAATCTTAAGTACTAAAAACATCCTGTTCTCCGGTTATTTGCAAAAACTAAATCAACAACTGTTATAAAAACGTCCTATTCTCCAGTTATTTATACTTGCATGATCTTGAGTGTTTTCTTTATGAACATGATGTAACTGGCCTCGAACATGTAAATAAGCTTATTGAGGTGAGCTTATGCATAGTGTGAAGTTAGATGTCTGTGGTGAACTTCATTTTTTATTAGTTCTGTAAACATCTTACTATTGAAAAACATGTTTATCTAATGAAAAGTGATTATTCACCGCTTAACTCCAAAGCTGCCAAATCTATCAAAACTGGACTTTGTTCAATGTTATAAAATGTATCAATATGCTGTATGTTCTCTGTGTCACTATATGTGATTTTTGAGAATAGAATTTCGGTTCTATTCTGTTCTGATCAGTAATAGTATTAGTAATATGTTTTGAGAAGGGCACAGGTGATAGGAGTGTGTTGTTACTATACTCTGTAGTGACTCTGGATCAGCTCATTAAGTAAATAGGGGTGGACAGCCAGTCTCAGCTAATTAGTGTACTCATTGTGTCTGTCTTATGGGAGATCTGTCTTTGGGGAGTGAACCTTATCCATGTTGTCTGTAATTGAATCCCGTACCATCTCGGGACCACAGGGAGTGCCTTGATGTAACCCCCATTACAGTGACGGTGCCATTGCATGTCTGCTACCAAGGATGCCTTGCTCAGTTGCCTGGCTCAGCAAGTATATGTCAGTGACAAATTGCATGTGTTTGTTAATAGCTGACGTGGGAACAATAACTGGAAAAACAATATGTTTTTGTGAACAGCTGAAGATGTAGTTCGTCAAAGCTGAAGATATGACTCACGTGGATATGTAAATACAGCATATCTATCACGTATTCTCAGAAACATGAATAGTAATCAGGATAGCATAGCTCAAGAGTCTCTCTAGTGCTTTCCGCAGGACTACACTTTGATCTTCTCCTCTGCTTCTGTAATGCATACTCGTTCCCTTTTCAGCTCCAAATTAAGGGACTTACGGGTTCCTAATACTCGACGATTCCTTGATAGAATTGCTCAATACACGTCATTAGATAACGTTATCAATTAAACATCGTTGTGCTATCATACTCATTTTCGGGCCTCTTCCTGACGTTTGCATCCCCTGAACATGTCAGAAACCTATGATCGTGAGTTCGAATCCCGGTCCTTCCCGACCGCGTTTCTGGGTTTTGTCAGCTCCATGCCTGTATTAGTTGGTTAAAAATAGAGTTGTGCATATCTGAGACTTACATCACTGAAGGAGTGATGAAACGTGTGTGTTGGTTTCAAGTGGTTTGACATGCCTCGATGAAAAGCACAAAACGAACTTGTTTTTTATACTTATTGACATGAATATGGGATTTTTCACAGGATTTTCATTTCAATCGCTTGTTTGATCACTTTATATTTTACTCATGAACAAGACACAACATATTTTAATTAAAACATCTACCATAATAAATAATAATTAAGAAGAAAGTACAATTTGTGGAGGATATTGAATAGAATGTCATCGTTGCAATTAGCTTTGTTTCCTCCGAAGTGCTCAAAGCACTTATTTTTGTTACTTGGATTCAAAACCATCAGTTCTGAAGCCTTCTTAGATGAAGAATATGAGGAATATTTCGGTGATGGAGTGCATAGTTGGTGTCATTAAGTGTTCTGTTTATTCATATCATTCAGTTACATCAAATTTGTATGTACACTGCGCTATATAAAGCTGGTTTGTTTGTTTCTGGTGTAAAGTTATATGACGGTCGTTAGATGGTAACCAAATAGGGGGTCAGACAATCCATGGATTGATATCCAGATCAACCCCGACGTAGGGTTGCGAAGATTTCCTTACCAACCACTAAAGGTTGCTGGGGACCAACAACACAGATTCTCCGCAAGACGTAGGAGGCAAGGGATTTCTGGGATTGTATCAGAATCGGAGCTTATCAGAACCTTGATAATCCGTACAAATGGACGCTTGTATTTTCATCAAAGTGTTTTTCCCTCACTTAAAAGAGAATATTTCCAGGTTAACTGTGTTGCAGCGGACTTTGTGCATTTAATGTACACATATTCAGTTTGTTTATAAAATGGGGGCGGTGGGGTAGCCTAGTGGTTAAAGCGTTGGCTCGTCACGCCGAAGACCCGGGTTCGAATCCCCACATGGGTACAATGTGTGAAGCCCATTTCTGGTGTCCCCGCCGTGATGTTGCTGGAATATTGCTAAAAGCGGCGTAAAACCAAACTCAGTCAGTCAGTCAGTGTTTATAAAATGAATGATTGGTTATCAAACATGATTCTTACTTCTAACCTGTGCAGTTGTGACAACATGACACTGAATTATGGATAACAACGTCTTTTATTCTGTGTCACGGCACTTCAGACATACTTCTTGCTATTCCCTAAGGGAATACTGAGTAAGCGTGCAGTGATGAAACAAGCGTCATGTCTCAATATTCATGTTTAATATGTTGCACTGAGAACTGTGGCAGAGCTAATGGATATATTAGATTGTTCGTTGGAGAAAATAACAATGATTTCTCATGTGACGTCATATTCGCCATGACGTCATATGTGACGATATGCTAACTCAAAAGGACTACTCACTGGAATCGTGACGTCAGATGTTATCCTTGCGAAAACTTTAAATAGAATCTATATTACTTTGATTTTTCCTCCAGGTGAATGCCTTTCTTGTGATAAAGTAGCATTCGTTAGGATTGGCATAAACCTGAGTTCGCCCTGATTATTTTATAATTTGAAGACATAAACCTTATTGCTTACATCAAATTGGAAAAACGCCCTCTTTGGACTTACCTGCTAATACAACGCTGTGTAACTTACATACTGTTCAACACAAATACAAGGGACAACTGTCAATACGCTGTTTTCAAAAACATCCTTTATGCGTACGTACACTGAGCGTAGAGATCTTGTGGTAAAGTGGCTCCAGTGAGAGTATGTATCCATACTCCGACGTTGACGAAGGAATTATCTTGTTAACGGAGTAAGCCGAGTGGATCTGAGTGCATCTGGTGCTTAGGGATTTGTGTCACATATACTGTGGTTAACCACGTAACTCGCTAAATCTTCAGCAATCAAGATCTCTAATATACTTAGGGTCAGTTCCGACTGGGTAATTACGATAATATTTCTAGAAGATACGATCCGTAAAATTCTCTAGTATAGGTGACATACAGTTCTATTTTGATGCGAACATACGTGCTTTATTGATGATCAACAGCAACAGCAGTAGCAACAACATCGTTGCACTGCCATCAAAGGAGGAATGCCATGTATTCAACACATCAGTCACTCTAGGTCAAACAGTACATGCATTCGGGAATGGTGATTGTCTCCTTCTGGAGTGTGGGGCGGTGGGGTAGCCTAGTGGTTAAAGCGTTGGCTCGTCAAGCCGAAGACCTGGGTTCGAATCCCCACATGGGTACAATGTGTGAAGCCCATTTCTGGTGTCCCCCGCCGTGATGTTGTTGGAATATTGCTAAAAGCGGCGTAAAACCAAAATCAGTCAGTCAGTCCTTCTGGAGTGTATAATTAACATTCACCTACGAGAACTACAATTAACAACTTGCACAACATAAAACCGATGTCACTGTGTTCACAGGGTATAGACAGAATGACAGAATTAAACTAGCATTCTTATGAAAAGTCTCTTTTTTTGTCTGTTGTATATTGTATTTAAGTTGAGGGGAAGGGAGGGGGGTTCTTTCTGTTTGCTTGTTTTGTTTCTATTTTTTATTTTTTATCGTGTTACTTTTTTGGGTGATGGTATTTTTTCAGCTAAAGTGTTTGGTTACGTTTGTTCCAGTGCTAGCTTTCTAAGCAATTCCTTCATTTTGTTTCAACACATGCCAGAAAACACGAGTTGTAATATTACTATAACCCTGCTGACACAGAGTTTAAACCACATACTACTGAACTGAAAATAGGTCATATCCTGCAGTTGAGATACCCACAACTGAGGAATCTGTTGAACTATACATTTTCAAGAATACAAGATATGTATTTCTAGGTTTTGTCAGCACTATACTCGTTTGAACAAAGCTGTAAAGGTCCGAGACCCGCATCACGTCGGTCTTTTATCCACTATAACACTATGTCGTGATAAAATTGGAATATTCTTAAGAATTCTCACCCACTCAAAAAAACACAATATATTTTCCGAGGTATTGTGAAGCACACTTCAGTCTCACTTCTCGGTTACTCTTACTTACTTACAAATATGCCGTATCATACACAGAATATATATCATGGTATAAAATTTAATCATTGTACTGACATTTGCTTATTATTGCAGACAGATAAATAAAAAACGCCTGCACAAAAGTCATATGGTATGAATGCCTCCTCGCACTAGAGATTCAAGTTCGGTTAAAGCTTGTCAGTTACATTCATAATTCATTAAGGACACACGCATAGTTCATACAAGACTACCAATTCATTTTCAATTCGTGAAATGTTCTTGAGATATTTGACTGAACAAATGCTGCTGGTAGAATCTATAATTGATTACATCAAGAAGGGTTGATGTCAAAAACTGGTATTCAGTGATTCGCGTGACAACCTCTGTTTATTGGTACATGGCAGGAAAAGCCAGCAACACAAACCCATCTATTTGATTATTCTCATCTCACTCCTTCCATGTTATAAACAATCAACTATCCCCAAAGATTCCCCCATGCCGTTACTCAGAAATATCCTCTCTACTTTTCCTTATTACCGTTTTCATTAGCTATTCAGTTGTGCAAAGCCACCTCCGCACTTGAGTTTATGACCCACGCGCGCTTCCATACCGCTGATTCTGTATGCCACTCTCCGATCAACTTATTATTACTTAATGCTATTCGGATCTGAAACGGATGTAGGCTGTCAGGGATTTGTTTAAGCAGCCAGCACCCTTGACTGTTATTGACGTCATGAACAGTACAAGGATAATGTCCAGAAGCCATTGCATCATAGCTTATCAGTGCGCTCCAGTGACGTGCAGAGGATTTTGAATATATTGTCCCTATATATTGCAATCGTGTTTAGCGTACTCTGCACCAGCCTGTCAATAAATAATACCCTTTAACGTTAGAGAATAATCCTCTTGATTAACCGAGGAAACGGTTGGTATTGGGACGAGGGAAAACAGTGATGGACGTAATATCAACTGTTCCTACACCACAATAAAATAGCGCCAGGGGTTTGTGACAATGTGAGCGTGTCCAGCCTTACCAGTGACTGTCACTGACAGTCAACACATGCAGACAACACACCACTTTGTGACAACTAGCTGAACTTTTAAATTTTGCAATTAGAATCCAGCTGCTGAAGCCAGTGAAGTTTTCCTCAGGATTCTTCCATCACAATCGAAACTAGAACCACGACCACGTTTTAATCGACCGCCTCGTTAGACCGAAAATAAGGAAGGTCTTGTTAATTCATTAAGTCTTTCCAGCACATGTCACTTTTAGTCCATTCACAATTACGACTGTAATAGCCAGAGATCAGCAAAGAAGCATTGAATCAATAGGCAAGCAATGGTACTTATTGGAGGGAAGGATG